CAGGCTCTTCTGGATAGAGGCTTTTAGGGCGGCCTCTAATCTCCCTTGCAATTGTTCCATGGTTCAAATCATATTTGAACCCTAATGAATATGGTGTAATCTTGGAAGATGGGTATTAAGTGTCTGGAAAGTGTCCTGGAGTGTGGTGGTGGCTGGGTATTGGAGGTACTGGAGGTCTGCCAATCAGGTATTTATCTGGTACGGGAGGGTGGGTCTTCTGTGTGTAATCCCTGGGTTGCTGGAGGTTGGTATAAGCAGACAGGGCAGCGTAGGGTGGGGTTTCTGGGTTTAAGCCCTGGAATGCCGGAGATTGGTGGGAGCAAGCCGAGGATCTCTGTTCCCGGGTCCTGTTGAGTCTGGAGTCCAAGGTCACAGAGTTCCACTTTCCTGGTTCTGTGGGGTTTCACTCATGTGTGAGTCTTGCCTTAGTGTCCGAAAGCGTCCTGGAGTGTGACAGCACCTGGGTGTAGTGGAGGTAGTAGAGGCCTGCCTCCACATTACTATTAGCTCTTGCAAAAATAAAATGTTTCAAAAGAAAGTACTTCGTCATTATATATCTACAAACAGTAGATAATTTATATGAAATGGAAAAAATTCCTGGAGAGAGAAACTACTAAAAATTGAGAAGAAAAAAATTTGTTGTGTTATAATAAGTAAAGAGATTAAAAATACTAGATTACCTATCAAGGAAAGCAAAGGCGGATTATAAGATATCATTTATGAAACTCTAACCATATGTCTAACACATATGTAGAGTTAATATGAGTTCTTTACAGACTGCCAAAAAGTAGGAAATGAGATTACGCTTACCACCTTGTTCTGTGAAGTCTATGTTATGATGATACTAAAAATCAGATAAATATGCCTGTTCTTCTGGATCTTAAATATTATTGTCTGTGATGATGGTTTCACAATTCTGAGATCACTATCACTATCACCCCATTATTCATCTATTTGCTTGAGCGGGCGCCAGTAATGTCTCCATTTGTTCCTGTCACCTGTTAGTTATAGCCTCATGGCATATTGGGGGCTCTTTGAGGGTCAGGGAAATGAGGACCATCATTGTTACTGTTTTTGGCGTAACGAGTATGCCATGGGTAGCTTGCCAGGCTCTGCTCTGCGGGCTGGATACTCTTGGTAGTTTGTCGGACTCTCCGAGAGGGATGGAGGCTTTTGGAGCAGCCTTTAATCACCTTTACAGGTGTTCCTAGTCAGGCATAGATATGGGCAAGATACTTCATTTAAGCCTGCCTGCCAGGGGCAGATGCGAGAAAATTTATTTTCCATTGCTCATTTTGAATATCATGAGAGTTTCTGCGACTGCAAAGCAGCTGTGTGCTTCTGGGATCCTCGATTGTAGATGGTTGGGTTCCAGAGACATTTCTGTAGGGCACTAATCCATTTTTGGATTCAAGTGGGCATCTCTGGACCAGAACTGTTGGTGCGCTAAGATGGTGGAAGCTTGTGGGGTGATAGCCAGGCCACAGAGCGAGCAGAGAGCCAGGGAGGGACAGCCTGGCACCTCTGCCACCATGCGGCCTGGAGATTTAGTCCTGGAACCTGCATACTTGGGCCTTGCTTGTGGAAGCTCTTGGTCACTGGGAATCCATCTGGAGTAGGTGGGGAGACTGCACCTGCTCCATCTGGGGTGTCCTGGTGAAATTGGGTCAGTATGGGGCCCAGAGGGATCTCCAGTGCTGTGGTGCTGTCCAGGACTCTTAATTAATATTTTAATTTCCTTACTTGAGATTAGTCTATTCAGGTTTTGTTTTCTCTTGGTTCAGTCTTGGTAGTTCAAATGATTTTAAGAGTTCAGCTATTTCTTTTATGTTCTTGAGCTTGGTGGTGTCAAGTTACTCATAATAACATCAGATGATATCTTTTGTATATATGAGGCACATTGTAAATCTCCCCTCTTATCTCTGACCCTAGTTATTTTTCTCTTTCTTTCTCAGTGAGCTAGCTAAATGATTGACAATCTCATTTACTCTTTCAAAGAATGTACCCCTGATTTTGTTGACCCTTGGTTTTGTTTTCTTTATTAAAATACCATTGATTTTTGTTCTGAATTTTATTATTTTCTTACTTCAATTTGCTCTGGGAGCTGGATTGCTGCTTTTGGGTAACTGTGAGAAGTTTCCAGGACAGGTTTTGTCTCTGACTGCCTCCCTGGAACTCCTAGCATATCTTCCAAGCGAAGATACCAATTCTAATAAATTCTTATCTCTGATTCCTTCAGCTAGTGGTTCTTCATTGAATTTGCTTTCTTGTTCCTTTGGGGCGTAATGTTTCTTCTGTTGTTCTCTTGACCTCATTTATAGTTCTCTGATGTTTATTCTTTTCAGACGTTTTACTCTTCTATTGAGTTTATTTTTTTTAATTCGCTACTGATATCACTACTGTAGTCTTTATTTCTGCTTATAACACCTACTATGTTCTTTATTTTTGTTATATCACCTACCATATTTTTCATTTCTGTTATTTCTGATTGCCATTTTCTCATTTTAGCTCTCATACTTTATTTATTGTATTTTGCTTTTTGTGACATTGTGGTCTTTGAGCTCATTTGAACTCAAACCACGTACAGTGATTTGGTTTCAGAGATGTGGAGATGAGTCTACTGAGATGGCAGTGGTCAGATGCAGGACTGCCCAGACCCTCTTGGAAAGAAAAGGGATCTGCCTCTGGTTCCATAAAGACTTTGGAGGTGTCACCACAAAGAAAGTATTTTAATAGAGGGAGTGGTTATTTAGTTATGTTTGTTGCTGTGAATAGTTAAATATGTCCTTTCAAACTTAGTTATTTTCATATTTTTTTGGTTTTGTTTTGTTCTTGTGCCACACCCAGTGGTGCTCCTTTGTAGTTCTGTACTTAGGGATCACTCCAGGAGGTGCTCTGGGTACCATACGGGATGCTGGAGATTGAACCCGGGGTTGCTACATACAAGGGAAGCTCCCTGCCAGCTGTACTATTTCTTTGGCCCCAGTTATTTTTGTACCTTATTTATCACATTTGTAGTCTTACTCATAAGATTTTGTACATAAATTTTTACTACATTTATTACTACTCTTTTTCTCATTATCTTTAATTTTTTTTATTATTACTAAATATATATACAGATATATATTTGTATATATATATTTTGGCTTTTTGGGTCACAGCCAGCAATGCTCCAGGGTTACTCCTGGCTCTACACTCAGGAATTACTCCTGGCGGTATTCGGGGAACTACAGTACCATACATGGGATGCCAGGAATTGACCTGGGTCAGACATGCACAAAGCAAACTCCCTGCCTGCTCTACTGTTGCTCTGGCCCTGTCATTATCTTTAGTCCACTTAATGGAAATACATTAAAATGAACTATTTCTTTATTGCTAGACAATTACTGCCAGGTTTTTAATTATACAAAATAGCAATAAATGTCTTTGTATATATGCTTTTTCAGAAACGTTTTAAGTGATCTTGTTAGACTAGTATCCAAGTATGCCAGAAGTAATACGCTTAGTATATCACTTTATGGTCTTGAAGTCTTTTAGCCAATTGAGAAAAGCATGTGGAAGAAATTATAATATCTTTTCAGATTTTTTGTCTGTTTCAAATTGGCACTAATTATAAAGATACTTAAGAAAAGCAAAGAGGAGAGTACATATCTCCCAAATTATTAAAATTTTACTTAGTATATCTTATTTCTTTCTAAAATATAATTTTTTTTCTTTTTGGGTTACACTTGGTGATGCTTTAAGTGGGATCTTCTACTTGCCTCTTTATTACCCTATTGACATTTTCATATCAATAAACATTGATATCATTATTATTTTTCTAATATAACCTCAAGTCTTTATTATCTTTATAACAGACAAAAGGTAAAACCTAGAACTAAATCAGTTATACCTTTCTTTGGATAACTCCTCCAAATTCAGAATAGTTGAAAATAAAAGTGCGCGCTCTCTCTCTCTCTCTTTCTTTCTCTCTCTCTCTGTCTCTCTCTCTCTCCTTTTTTTTTTAACAGCCTTATTTTGAGGCACTACCTGGTGCTAGGGATCAAACAGGTTTATGCATGCAAAGCAGCCCTTTGTTTACTTTTTTTTTTCTTTCTGGGTCACATTCTGTGATGCACCAGGGGTTACTCCTGGCTCTGCACTCAGGGTAGGCCTCGTGCAAACATTCTACCCACTGTGCTATTACTTCAGCCTCTGCAAAGCAGCTCTTTGAATCTTCTCTCTGACTCAATATTTACATCTTAGTACCCATTTTTCACTTATTTCTGCACTTTAGCTCAATACATTGAAGCTTCAGCAAGATCTTTGTAGTTTCAGCCTTTTCTGCAACATTGACTTAATTTTTCCACCGTGGCTAACTCATTATTATTGTAACACTCCCATTCCTGGAATATAGACTCTTCTTGCTTTTCTTGTACTGTGTGTCTTTGTGGGAATGACATGCCACACTTTCAACAGAAAGGCCAGTGGGTTATCTCATATGCTTGCCGTACTCATGATATATCATCATACTTTTTTGTGGTTATATAAATATCATAAATACATTTAACTATTTAAGATTCAGAGAGTATGTTTGTATAAATCTCTTTATTGTATGTTTTGGGTTTTGGGCAACACATGGTGTTGCTTTGGGGACCATGCGGTATTGCGGAGTAACCCAGACCTTTGACACTTAAAATCTCTAGCTATCTCCTTCACCCTTATGTAAGTCAGTTTCATTACAGTTCTTGACAAGTCAATGGAAATAGATAATCTAAAATTCCAAATCTTTATTTCCACATGGTGTTGCACATAGTTTTATTATTATTTGGGTTTTCTTAGCCACACCTTGTATGCTGGAGATTAAGCCAGTCAATGCAATTGTTTTGCCCCTGCGTTATCTCTTTGACCCTGCGGTTTCCAGGAAAGGTTTTGTGTTAGCAAATTCTTTTCTTTTTAGAAAATGTTAATTTTTAGAAATTGTAGTAATTATTAAAAAACTGTGCTTATTTTATTTTTAGCTTTTGCCTACGATAACAGAGCAGCTACAGTGGATGCCATTTGTGAACGCCAAACTTCATGAACCTTTTGTAAAATTTATATATTGGTCTCTAAGGCAGCTAGATACAGGAACACAGGTACTTAATATTAGAATGTCTGCATATTATGCTTTCATATCTTAAAATATTTCTTTGTCTTTAGCACTATTCTTTACCCTTTTTTACATATCACTTTTCATGTATACATATTTGACTTAACATGTATTATATCATTGCTTTTATAGTTTTGGAATTGTATCTTTATATCAGTTTACTGTTAAAGCCAACATGAAAAGTGTGTGTGTGTGTGTTGTATTTTTTTCATAATTTTATTTATTTATTTATTTATTTATTTATTCTTCTTATATTTATTGAATCACTGTGGGAAAAATTACAAAGCTGTCATGTTTAAGTCTCAGTCATACAATGATCAAACACCTTTCCCTTCACCAGTATTCATTGTTCACCACCAAGAACCCCAATATGCCCCCCCAGTGCCTGTGGGGCAGATGGTTTCTACTTAATTTTTCTCTACATTGATTACATTCATTATTTTGACAAAACATGCACCATTATTGTTTAGAATTCCCCCCAACAATTATATGAGAATCATATAATGATTTTGGATTTCTGCAAAGAGCCAGATAGTTACAATAATTACGAAAATGGTTTCTGTGTGTCTGGTGTTATGATTGTACCGGAGAGCCACTTGTGGGGGGCAACTCGTGACCTTGATAGGGCGTGAAGGTTGAGCCAGTACCGCCCCCCTTCCCATGAGACTGCAGTTGCCCCGTCACCGCCAGCTCATACCTGGCTTTCCTATAAGCTCTGAGGCGGTGGCCACCTTGCTGCCGGGGGGTGGGGGGTGGGAGGGAAAGGTGGAAGGAAGCAACACCTTTTCCCTCCCGGGGAGGCATGGCGCTGTAGTTTAACACATAGTCCATTTACTTTTCTTCTGCAAGCTCTCAGGCTCTGGATTAAGTCCTTTTGCCTCTGGAGCCATGGCCATGCTGGAGAGCCGCTCGTGGGGGGCAACTTGTGACCTCGGTAGGCGTGAAGGATGAGCTGATTAAAACCCAGAGGTACCACTCTGGGTTTCGAGATTTGTTTCTGAGTCTCTGGGATCATGGCCATTAATCAGCTTGATCAGGAGCCAGAGAGGCCGATTGTAGGCAGCAACTTGGGGTCTCGTTGGGATGGGGAGGAAAAGGCCGGTTCCACCCTCATCTGGTGAGGCCCTGTGTATCTTGTCACTGCAAGCCCAAACCTGACTGTCCAGTGGTCTCTGGAGGATGGTGGTCACTGGGCCACCAGGGGGAACAGGCCAAGGCATGAAACCTATTCCCACCTGGAGTGGCTCAGCGCCAGTAACCTACTGCAGGAACAGGACGCATTTCTGCCAAAAGCCTTTGGGTTCCGAGATTCGTTTCTGAGTCTCTGGGATTATGACCTTTAAGTAGTTCGATCTGGAACCAGAGAGGCCATGCTTCCAATTACATAGCTGAGCTGGAGGTGGTTTGTGGATGTGTCTCCCACATACCTAACTTTTGGCCATTTACTTTCTTGGTAAACTTTGCCCCAAGTTTTTTGGGTCTGGCCAAAGGCACAGCAGCAAATCTGGAGTATCTGGAAGTCTGAAGGCGCCATCAGGCTACTGATGCACTCGCCTCACAGGTATAGATTGACCTGCTGGCAGCACCATACCTCCATGTGTTGTATTTTTTTGACCATACTGGTCTGTGTTCAGGGCTGACTCCTTGCTCTGGGATCACTACTGGGGTAGCCCTGGGGAGAGATGCCGATGTTTGAACCCAGATCAACCGTGTGCAAGGCAAGTGCCCTGCTTGCTATACTGTTTGGCCCCCAATGTGAATTTTTTTTAAATTTTATTTTTTATTTAGTCTATGTGAAATGACAAAGTTCTTCATGTTTGGGTTTCAGGCATATAGTGTTTCAACACTAATCCCTTTACCAGTGTCCTCTTCCCTCCACCAGTGCGATCCTCCGCTACATCTGTTTGCCTCACAGAGAGGTGCTTTTTTGGTTAAGTTTTGGTTTTGTGGTTTACAGTGCTGTAACTGATCGTATCATGCACTTTGCCACCTTTCAGCATCACTTCCTCCTCCTGGTTGAACATTTCCTCCACGATGGTCGTTATTTCCTTTCCTCCCTGCCTCCCCATGCCCTTCCAAATGGCATGTTTCCACTGAAGACAAGTTCCCACCATAAAATCTTTTTTATACTCGACTGAATATTTAGAGCCAAACTGATAATACAGCAGGTAGTGTTCTTGCCTTGCATGCAGCAACCTGGGATTGATCAAACTCTTATATGGTCCCCTGATCCGCACCAGGAGTAATTCCTGAGCACAGAGCCAGGAGTAACTCTTGGGCATCACCAGCTGTGATCCCCAAACAAAAACAAAATTGACAATTTATTATATTTTATGCCAATAAATATACACTAGCTAAATGGGGCAATGGTTATTTAGATAATTTGTGAAGAAAAATTTTCCATCATCTTGTAAATTGAAATATATTTTACCTACTTATTTTAAGAATGATTTGATTGGGGCTGGAGCAATAGCACAGCGGGTAGGACATTTGCCTTGCATGGGGCTGACCTGAGTTCGATTCCCAGCATCCCTTATGGTCCTCTGAGCACCGCCAGGAGTGATTCCTGAGTGCAAAGCCAGGAGTAACCCCTGAGTATCACCGGGTGTGACCCAAAAAGCCAAAAAATAAAAAGAATGATTTGATTTAAATTATGGAGTGTAAATATTATATAGTCATTTGTATTAATTATAGCAGATTCATAAAATTTTATTACCCAAATTATTGATAAATGCTTTTATAAATTATATTTGATTAAAGTTGGAGAAATACAAAAAATTACTCAGTTTATTTAATGTTAGTCCTATGGAATTTAGGAATTGTACATCAAAACCATCCAGTATAATTGTGATGACTAAGTAGTAGAATGATTGATGTTGCAGAAAAAATCTTTCCCGAGGTACTGTTGCAAATGAGATTCCTCCTTGGAGCACCTGAGTGAGTACAGGTTACATATGTGTGCATGTAGACACACAGAGGATATAATTTTTAATTTATGTGTTTCATCAACCAGAGTTTTGTAAAGTAACAGTGGTTAATGTCACTGCTGTATTTTTGCAATCTCATGGATTTTATGGTTTCTGAAAATGTTGGCTGAATGCATACTTTCACCTGTGAAGGACTAGATTTTCACAAAACTAAATGAAACTCTTTTATCTTCCTTCCAAATACTGTTTTCTTTTAGACCTCTTGCAGTTTATTTCTGTTGTTCTCAAATATATTGTTAGCACCCCAGCAAATGTGCTTTTTTAGGCAGTTACTAATCTGCATCTACTTTTCTAGTGAAAAGTAATGTTCTCAACACTTTTCCATCCATTTTTTCAAAATTATTTTAAAAATAGGTGTCATCCCCAGAAGTGCTTGTGGGCAGGAGCCGCTCCCCAAGGCACTCAGGCCTGTGGCGTTGCTGCTGGCAGTGCTTGGGGCACCACCAGGACCATGTACAGGACCATGCAGTACCAAGAGTCAAACCTCAGGAGTACAGAATAGAACCATCACTATAAAGATTTAAGAAAATAACTTTTATTTGTTTACAGTAGGTTTAATTCACCTACTTTGTAAAATTGAGCAGAAATATGTAGATTACCCTACTCCCAAACATTGAATCTTCTCAACAGTCAGCATCAGAATGCAACATCTGTTACATTTCTTGAACCTGCTGTGATATATTATCATATCCCAAAGTCCATGTTTTGCATTAGAATTTACTCTTGTACAATGCTGTATATTCTATGAGTTTTGAAAAATTTAATATCATATAGAATAATATAATTCCTGTAAATCAATAATCAATATTTCTTCATAGTTTTGTGTTTTTCAAAATCTTTTACAGAGCAGTATACATTTAAGGTTCCTTCATGAATTTACATGTTTTTATAGCTCATTTCTTTTCAGTACTGAAAAACATTTCAGTTTGTAAATATACCACACTTTGTCAGCCCACCCACTGAAGGGCATCTTCATTGCTTTCAAGGTTCGCCAAGTATGCTATATAAAGGTGCTATAATGTCCATGGACAGTTTTTTGCATGGACATAGCACTACACCGTAGCACTGTCCTCCTGTTGTTCATCGATTTGCTTGAGTGGGCACCAGTAACGTCTCACAACAAATTGTGAGACTTGTTACTGTTTTTGGCATATCGAATATGTCACGGGAAGCTGCATGGACATAAGTTTTCAATTTTTTAAATGTAAATTCCAAGTAGCACAATTATTAGATGATAAGGTAAAAATATGTTTAGTATTTAAAAAACTTCAAACAGCTTTCCAATATCATTTCATATTTTCCAGCAGCAGTGGGTAAGATTTCCTGTTGCTCCACATCCTCATCAATGCTTAGTGTTTGTGGTTTGCATTTTCACCTTTCTAAAGGTGTTGTTGTGATGTTGTATTGCTTTATTTTTAATTTATCGAATTATAACTTACAAAGTTCTTCATGATTGAGTTTCAGACGTACAGTGATAGAGCAACAATCTTTTCATCAGTGTCCCCTTTCCTCCAACAGTATCTATTTCCCTCTTGCCCCCCAGCCTGCCTCTATGACAGACATTTTTCCTTTTTTCTTTTTTCCTATTGTTTGCAATTCTGTTACTGAAAGTGTGCATCCTTTCATCACCCAGTTCTTTTCCAAATTGGCCCCTTCCCCCTGTCATTGTCATAGTGGTCCCTTCCCTTCTCTCCCTACTGTGGCAAACTTCCTACAAAGGATCAGTTCTCCTACCCTTTATTTCTATTGTTTTTGGGCATTGTTCTCTTACAGTGTTTCTTTATATCCCACATAAGTTTGATGATTCTGTGTCCCTCTACCTAACTTACTTCTCTCCAGATCCATCCATGTATAAGCAATTTCATGACTTCATCTGTTCGAATTGCTACATAGTATTCCCTTGTATATACATACCTTATATTCTTTCTTTTGAATCAGTTACAAAAGTTGTTCATGATTGGATTTCAATCATGTAATGTTTCAACATCAGTTCCTTCAACAGTGTACATTTCTCACCACTCGTACCCCCAGTTTCCCTGCTATATCCTTGTCCCCCATGGCCTGTCTGTCTCTCTCTCTATCTCTCTAAAGGTACTTTCTAGTCATTTTGTATGGACAAAGTAAGAGATACATTAAGCTTGTAAGTGGCTCTGCTGGGGACATCTCACTATAGATCCCAGACTACAGTGCTCAGGCCAGATTAGTCTTTCCTAACCCTAGCAGGGTCCTAATCCAGTTGTTACTCTTTGGATTAAGACAGAATTTGTCCATGACGTGCACTTAGCGTATAGTTAAGTATTATGGCGCTTGGCCCGGCCCATTTCCATGCCAGGGTAGCTCACAGCTTGCCCTGGGTCCATCCATTCCCTTGTTGGGACCCTGCTTTTGGGGTGCTAGGAACTAAGGGAAACTGAGGCTTAAGTGGAGAGAATAGATGCCCTGGAGTGAATATTATTTGGAGTCAATTAACTCCCAAGTTACAAAAGCATAGTATTAAATGTTTTCCTGTGTCTATCCAAAAGGGACATTGCTCTGAAGTAAACTATACAAAGAACATAAGGGAAGGAGAAAAGCAATATTTCACTTACAAATACAAAATCAGAGATTCCTGAGGAATTTGACTTTACAAGTCACAGGTATGCTTAGGGGAAATAGGTGATAGCAGAGCACCTATTTAGATAGCAGAGAAGAGGTTAAAGATAAACACAGAAGAATGGGAGTGCCTCAGGAGCACTGTGGTGGGTGTAACCCAATAAACCTAAGCTCCCTAGGGCAGGGAGAAATGACAAACCAATGTTATCCTACGCCTTCCTGCATCACTTTCTTTGTTCAAGTTGGCTTTTATAGATTTTCTCCCAACTTGCCTCACGTGGGACTTTCTATCTAGTAAGAATCCTTCGCTAGGGTGTTTGCCAAGGGGGTAGAGTTGGAAGAAGTTGATGGTCTTCTTTGAAATTCCTTTTCTTGCCTTTGTTCCTGCTGGAGCTTTTGGGAGGGGGCTGGAGGCGGGAGGGGGTATACAGCCTTCTCTGGGTCTGTGCTGGCCCCAGGTAAAGATCTTACCAATCAGGTTTTTAGTTCCTGTGTCTCAAGGTGGGTTTGCAGCATTGGTGCAGTTGTTTTTATTACTTTCCAGGAATTCATTGCCATGGGAGCCCTCTCCTATATATTTGTATTCTTGCTTCACTTTCTTTTGCTTCATTATCTAGTTTTACCATCTTATCTTTGAATCCACTAAATATTCTTATCATGGTATCTCTATAGTCAGTATCGAGGAATTATATTATATCTCTCTCCATATATAAATATATAATCTGAGAAGTTACATTACCTGAGAAGCTGGTTGGTACTGGTAGAGCTTTTCATGCTGAACCTGGGTCTGCCACATGCAAGGCAAATGCCCTACCTGCTATACTATCTCTCGAGCCCCTAATTTTTTTTAATTGAATCATGTGAAATACACAGTTACAACGCTTTTCATGATCTGTTTTCAGTCATACAATGTTCCAACACCTATCCCTCTATCATTGTGTATTTCCCATCACCTCGACACCCCCAACCCCCACCCCACCCTGTCTCTATGGCAGGAACTTTTCTAATTCTTTTTTAAAATTTTTTAAATTATTATTATTATTATTATTATTATTTTCCCCTCCTTTTTTGGATTTACCATGAGATACAGTTACAAAGCTTTCATGTTTGAGTTTTGGTCACAATCTTCAAACACCCATCCCTTCACCAGTGCACATTTTCCACCACCAAAATCCCCAGTATTACCCCCCCTCTCCCCCGCATTCCAATCCTCCCCCTGCCTGTGTGGCAGACAATTTCCCCCTTATGCTCTCTCTACTTTGGTTACTTTTCATATTTCGACACCAGTCCCACCATCACTCAAACCTGCCAAGAAGGCAATGCTAGATGATGTTTTGTATTGCTTGTTATGGATAGAATATAATGTCCAGGAAATCCTGTGGCATTCTCTTCTGGGAGCTTTAGTTTATAGTCGCTGGGTCTTGGCTGTTGATGAGATTACATGGTGCCAGGGGCAGTTGTGGGTGTGACTGCCAAGCCACTGGAAAACTGGGGATCTGCGGGGAGGAGGCCAGGTCCCAATCCATGCAGACTTGCAGATCTCAGTCACAGGTTCCCGCATACCAGGGTTTTCCTGCTGGTCTGCTTTTGGGTGAGTTTCATCCGCTCTTGAGTGAGGCTCATCCTCTCTTGGGTGAGGTTTGTCCGAGCATATGGTGAGTGGCCTTGAGCATGGCTGTGTTTGGGTTCTGGAGGTTTTTGCCTGCAGGGGTTCTGTTTGGATTGGGGAGGGAGACTCAGCCCACCCCCCTCCAAGGTACCCTGGTGAAGACAGCCTGACTCGGGGTCAGGACATTCTGTGGCACTCTCTTCCAGGAGCTTTAGTTTTATAGTCTCTGGGTCTTGGCCGTTGATGAGATTACATGGTGCCAGGTCAGCCCCTAATTCTTATGAAATTATTGTTTTAACTTTTTGTTTCTAGTAGATTGGTTATTTCTTTTAGAGACATAGTCAGAATTTTTTCCTGGATTTGAGTCATACCCAGTGGTGTCAGAATCTACTGACTAGGTGCTTTGGAGTTGTTCCTGGTGGTGAATGGGTTTCATCCCATTGAGTTGTTTCTCCGGCCCTGAAGTAGCTGTAAGTTTCGTTTTTTTTTTTTTTTTTTCTGGCAGGGAGCACTCACCCAGTGATGCTCAGGGATTACTCCTGGCTCTGCAGTCAGGAATCATTCTCATTGGTGGTGTTCAGGGGATCACATGGGATGCTGGGATTGAACATGGGTGGCCTTGTGCAAGTCAAGCACTCTGATCATTGTATGAACTCTCCAGCCACAATTGTCATAATTTTTAAGTTGATTATCACTTCCAAATCTTATGTATTTTTTAAATTTATTAGAAGAAATTGAGAGTGGGTGGCTGGGAGGAAGAGACCTTAGAGAAAGATCTTGAAACATTGTTGGAGGGCTTGCTATAGTGCTTTTCAACTATCAAATAACATTTAATTTTGTTGTAAACTATGATATTTCAATAAAAAACATTAAAAATACTTTTAGTTTATATGCTTGACTATTTTAAATATACCTAATATGAGTATTTGAATATGATTACTCCTAAGATATGTGTTTTTTATAGCATTCAACTATGACATCAACATTGAGAAGACTGGGTGAAGATATATTTAAAGGAATAGTATCTAAGGGAATTCAGGATAATTCACTAGAGAGTTCTGTGGAGAGTAAACCAAAGACAGCTGTTTTCTTTAAGAGCACTAATTTACAGTTGAGATTCTTATCAACCTTAATTGTTCTCAAAACGGTCACTCAAGGTAAGCTTTCAAATGTCCTTAAAGATACTTATTATATCGTTGTTTGTAATTAAGCAGAAGAGAATGCTATATAGAAAGAAATTTTTGCATAGTAAAATATACATTTCAGAATGAAAATCTGAGTTTAGAATGGTAGCACATTATTAAAAAACCTACTGGTATATACTAAATTTTAGAAAATTTACTAAATTGAAGTGTTGTCCTTCCCTAACTGGAAGAGGAATTTCTTATTATCTTAAATCATGTTCCCAGAATGACCTTTGCTTACTATTATCATTGCATTTACTTTTAGTATTGAGTTGTTTGTTATTTATTTTCCACTTCAGAAGTTGTTGGCAAACTATAGTTCATGGGCCAAATCTAATCCTCCACCTATATTGTAAAAGTAAAGCTTTGTACACAACCTTGCTAATTTCTCACCTGTTGTTTGGCTCTTTTTGCCTTAAATTCAAGTAGCTGTGTATTTGACAATATTATTATGTGGTCATTGACAAAAGTTTGTCAATGTTTCAGTCAGCGGTGGCCATCTTTAATACAATTATGGCCTATCGTTATGATTATTGTTAAGGATAACTAAATATATATGTATTTTATAAATGTTATCAAAGTAGTCAAGCAATAAGTGCATCATATTTCTAATTCTGGTATTTTTTTTTTAAGTAGGCAATGGCAACAATTTTATTTTATTACTTTCTTTTAGAGCTGGAGCGATAGCACAGCAGGTAGGGTGTTTTCCTTGCGCGCCCGGCTGGCCCAGCCGGGTATGATTCCTCTGCCCCTCTCAGAGAGCCCAGCAAGCTACCGAGAGTATCTTGCCCGCATGGCAAAGCCTGGCAAACTACCTGTGCCGTGTTCAATATGCCAAACACAGTAACAACAAGTCTCACAATGGAGACGTTACTGGACCTGCTCGAGCAAATTGATGAACAACGGGAGGACAGTGCTATAGTGCTACTTTCTTTTAAGTATATTTTATTTAGTTGTTGATGATATGTAGAATTTAAGAAGAGAAATTTCAGAATCTTAACTTTTTTTTTAACTGTCTTTTTATTATGAGACTGATGTGCTGCTACTGTGCTAAGATGATTGTCTTCTTAGTTACCTTTCTTGTGATTGTAGTTCTCAATGAAAAAGCAGACTAGGTGGCAAATGAACTGTCATTTATGAGAAGAGAAGGGTATTAGTCCATAAGAGTTTAGCACGTATTAATATATATCATTAGATGAAGTATAACAATAGGTGACAAAACCAAGTTAAATATAGAAAAAAACCAGGGAATTAGGTATTCCTTATCACCTTCTGCCAGGACAGTATGATATTATACATACTTACCATTAACTATTGTTTGCTTTAAATAATGATTGATGGATATAGAAAGATAAAGTGACAATCAGGGGACCATATGGGAGGCTGGGCATCAAACCCAGGTTGGCCGAGTGCAAGGCAAATGCCCTGCCCTCTGTGCTATCTCTCCAGCCCAATTATTTATTAGATTTTTTTGGCTTTCACTCATGACTGAGATTTGTGCCTTTATCAAAGAGACTTTATCAAGGTTTCTAGTCTCATATTAATGTGAGGACATAGCACAGACCAGGTTATGAACCAGGAAGAGGGCCTTAATCCAAATGTGATCATGCTTGCACCTTTAGTTTGGATTTCCCAGTTTCCATATTTGCCTACAATAAATTTGTTGTTGATGGTCTGTAGTCTAGTATTTTGTTATCTGAATGGAGAGAGACAGAAAATGAGTTCCAGGGAAATTCACACAAAAAACTGCCGTCAGCACTCATCAATACACTGGCTCAGCTCTTCACATGCTACCTGTCTGAATGCAAGGTTCCGCCCCAATGGAAAACCAGCAGGACTTAACGACTGTACAAGAAAGGAGACATCCATGACATTGGCAACTATTGCCCGATCTGTCTGCTTTGCCTCACAGAAGCAGTTTGGAAGTGTTCCTGTTTCTTCAATTTCTTGGAAAATCTTGAAAAGGACTGGTAGTAGGTCCTTTAAGGGTTCGAAAGAATTCACTAGTGAATACATCTAGGCCTGGGATTTGTTTGGGGGAAGATTTTTTATTACCATTTCAATATCCTCTTATAACCTTTTTCAGCCTGAAATCTATGTTGTTCAATACTAGTATGGCCACCCCTGCCTTTTTGAAGCAGTTGTTTGGTTGAAGAATTTTTTCCTTTGAGTCTGTTTGTTCTGAATATTCAAATGTGTTTCTTCTAGGCAGCAGAATGTTGGATTCAGTTTTTAAATCAATTTTTTTTTAATAATTTATTTATTTATTGAATCACTGTGGGAAAAGTTACAGAGCTTTCGGGTTTAGTTCTCAGTCATGTAGATACCAAACATATTTCCCTTTACCAATACTCATTTTTAGCCCCGAACCCCAATAGACCCCCACCTCCCACCCCTCCCAATTCTTGTGAGGCAGATGAGTTCTAGTTAATACTCTATATACTTTGACTAGATAGATTATTTCGATAGAAGATGCACAATTATTGTTTAGAGTTTACGACCCACCCCCCACAATCAGACATGCTGAAACAGCGTTGTGAAATGATTTGCTTTCTACAACTTGGTTTAAGAATAAAATGAGGTCGCGCGGCCGCTATCACGGCCGCGTGGTTTTGAATTTCTGCTATTTTACTTATTGACCCTGGAAGAATTTCTATTAAAAGTTAGCTAGTTAAGAGATTGGTTTCTGTGCCCTGGAGTCGTGGCCGTGCTGGAGAGCCGCTCGTGGGGGGCAGCTGGCGACCTCGGTGGGGCGTGGGGGACGGCCCACAAAGCCCCCCTTCCCATGAGGTCCCCGCCGCTCCCCCAAGCCCGGCTCAAACCTGCTTTCCACAAGGCTCCCGTGCGGCCGCCATCTTTCTTTCCAGAGAGGAGCGGGCGGGCCGGTCAACGCCCCTTCCCCTCCGGGCAGGCTTGGTGGTGCGTTTTAACACAAGTCCATTTGCTTTTCTGCTCCAAGTGGGTGGTTCTCTGTGCTAAGTCCTTGTGCCTCCGGGGGCCGTGGCCGTGCTGGAGAGCCGCTCGTGGGGGGCAGCTGGCGACCTCGGTGGGGCGTGGGGGACGGCCCACAAAGCCCCCCTTCCCATGAGGTCCCCGCCGCTCCCCCAAGCCCGGCTCAAACCTGCTTTCCACAAGGCTCCCGTGCGGCCGCCATCTTTCTTTCCAGAGTTAAATCAATTTTGCCATTATGTGTTTTTTAATTTCTCCGCCCCTCTCAGAGAGCCCAGCAAGCTACCACAAGAGTATCTTGCCTGCATGGCAAAGCCTGGCAAGCTACCTGTGACATATTTGATATGCCAAACACAGTAACAAGTCTCACAATGTTACTGGGCCCACTCGAGCAAATCGATGAACAACGGGAGGACAGTGACAGTGACAATGTCTTTTAATTGATGCATTTAGACCATTGACATTGAAAGAGATTATTGTCATGGGGTTTTGTGCTATCTTTCTTAGAGGATTGTTTTGTTTGTGGGATTTGTTCTTGCCTAATAGTAGCCCCTTGAGTTTTTCTTTCAAAATTGGTTTTGAGTTTTTGAAATTCCTGAGCAGTTGTTTATCCATGAATTTGTGTATCATTCCTTCAGATATGATTGAGAGTCTAGCTGGGTAAAGTATTCTTGATCAAGCCTTCATTTTATTAAGCTTTTGTACTCTACCATTGTCCTTGGCAATGAAACCCCAAGGCCTTCATTGATATGGCTGCTGTAAATCTAAGGGATGCTCCTTTGTACGCAACTTTCTTCTTTGATCTTGTTCCTTGCAGTACTGCATCTCTGTCTGTTGGTGTTCATCATTCTGATTAGGGTATGTCTTGAAGTCTTTATTAGGGTCTCTTTTAGCTCGTACCCTTCAGCTTCTTGCACATGGATGCCTGCATCTTACAGCTCTGAGAATTGCTCAGCAGTGATGTCTTTAACTGTTACTGCCTCATTGGGGTTGCCTTCCAGTCCCTCTGGAACTGTGATGATTCTTACGTTTTCCCTCTTGAATTCATCCCAGAGTTCTTCGTTCTGCGAGTTATTTTGAGGATTTTTTCCATCTTTTACTGTTGCCTGGAGGTTTTCTGCATCTCAAACTCACTGTTTCTGTCTTCAGTGTTATTATTCTACTGTTAAGGAGTACCTGTTGAGTTTTTCATTTCATCTATCGAATCTTTTTATTAATGCCATTTCTGTTTATAGTTTTCTTATATCTCTCTCATTTCCTCTTGTATTTTATTGGCTTCACTGTTTCTTTCATATTCTGTACTTTATTAGATGTTTGTTCCACTGTTTCTTTGAGCTCATTGAATGTCTCTGAATTCTTTAATGAGAGATTATGTATGTGGGCATTCCTTGTTGAGGCTTCAGGGCTTCTATCTTCATGCACCCCTTGTGATGGGAATCTGCACTGTTTCCCCATGGTGCCTGTGGTAGTCTGGAGATACTTCTTTCTAATACACTATCAGCATCCCCGTCTCAGCCAGGGAAGGATCTGAGGAAGCTTTGTGGGTGGTGGTCTCTTCTTTCCCTGAATAGGATATGGTGCAAGAAATTACCTGTTGGCAGCGTGAGCATCCACCTGCTCCGCAAACCATGCCCACCTGTAGGAGTATGAAGAATTAGGGCTACTCTACTCCGTTACAGTGGAGTCTATGTCTAAAACTGCCTCCAGCCCCTGAAAATATCTTCTCTGTGCCATGCTACTGGATCTTTCTTTCACTTCTTGTGTTCTCTCTTGAACACTATTCTTTTCCTCTTCCATTTTTCTAATTAAATTATTTTCTATAAGATCTATCTTCTTCAGAAAAAAAAATATGTATTCTGATTTTTTTTTTGCTTTTTTGGGGGTCACACCTGGCGATGCACAGGGGTTACTCCTGACTCTGCACTCAGGAATTACTCCTGGAGGTGCTCAGAGGATCATATGGAATGCTGGGAATCGAACCCGGGTCAGCTGCGTGCAAGACAAACTCCCTACCCGGTGTGCTATCACTCCAGCCCCCCGTATTCTAATTTTTAAGAACACCCAAAGAATAATCTACTTTAACTACAAAATTATTTTTCTTATAATCTTTATTTGTTATAATTTATTTTTCACTACTGTAACCAGGTTCAGGTAACCTCGTTACAGTAGTGTTGGCTTTTATGGTATTAATGTACAAAATTACATTACCTTGGCACTACCAAAGTGCCTTAAGACTACTGCTGTCCCTATATCGTCTCTAGTCCACCTCTTCATTACTCCACCCTCCCCACCCTGTCACAATAGGTCGGCTTTTGATAAAGAATTAAAAGGATATAAAATTTTAGGTCTGTATTTAAAGACTCAATAAATAAAATATTTTTTTAGAAACCAGTTGAGAAAAATTAATAACAAGATTTTAGGAGGCTGTTATAAATTATAATATTTTTAGAAAATCTTTATTACTAGGGAATTGAAATGAGACTATACTTAAAATTCTCTTGAATATATAAGGCCAGCATGAGATAAGGCACAAGTACATTTGGGGCCTGAGTGTTAATGCAAGGGGTAGGCCACTTGCTTTACACATGGTTGACCCAGCATCCAATATGGTTCCTGGAGCCCCACCAGGAGTGGTTCCTGAGCAAGGAGTAACACATAAGCATCAAAGGGTATGTCCCCAGAAAGGTTTTTTTTTTTTTTTTAATAGGCACAGGTGCCTTAAATGCAGCTAACCGAGGTTCAGTCCCTGATATATAAGATCATCTGAATACCACCAGGAGTGAACCCTGAACATATGCCAGTAGTAAATCACAGCTAAACACAGCTGGGTGTTACCCCAAAACGAAAACAAAAAAAAAGGGACCTCCAAAGAGATAATACAGGAGATAACCAGATTGCCTTGCATCTGATTTACCCTGATCTGTTCCTAGCATTTATATAATTCCCTGAGCTGTGCCATTAGTGATCCCTGAACAGAGTCAGGAGTAAGTCCTGAACACAGCTAGGTGTACACCTATCCACACAAGCACACACACATGCTCTCTCTCTCTCTCTCTCTCTCTCTCTCTCTCTCTCTCTCTCTCTCTCTCTCTCACACACACACACACACACACATACACACACTTTTTCTATCCACAAACTTAATAGGCATTTTAAAAATTTGCTATCTTTCTATATTATATTTCAGTTTATTTAATCTTTCAGATAATAAGTAATTTGTGTCTACAGTAGGTGGCACTGTGATAAAAACATTTGTTTCTCTGCAGATCAAAATTCATCTATACTCTTTTGAGATGTTGCTAAGAGTAAATTTATAAATAAGACTAAATCGTTTGGGAATGTTTAGCCTAAATGTACATTAATTTATGATGTTTTATTAAACTACAAAAATAAAAGGGCAGTAATGTCTGTGTTTCCTGAACTAAATTCTCTAAAAGTAAAATTGAAGCACGCTATAATAAATTCCTCCAAAATCAGCCCCCTTGCCACCTCCTGACCCTAGGGTGCTCGGCTGGAACCTGGGCCTTTGTATGCAGGGCACGTACCCTTCCAGTGACAATCATTCCTGACTCCAAGCTTCTAGCTTTTCTTTTGTTTTCTTTGTTTTTGGAGCCACACCTAAATTCCTGGCTCTGAACTCAGGAATCACTCCTGGTGGTGCTGGGCAGAGAACCACTATAAGCCGGGTGCATGGCAAGAGCCTTAGCCCTATACTGTCTTTCAGGTCCAGCAGCTCCAAATTTTTAATAATTCTTAATTATTTCTTAAGTTCATGAAGTTGGAACTGCAACAGAGAAATTCAGCATAAGATTTTGATGACAGGATATTCTTTATTCTTTTTTTTTTTTTTGATCACACCAGTGATGCTCAGAGGTTACTCTTGGCTCTGCACTCAGGAATTACTCCTGGCAGTGCTCAGGGGACCATATGGGATGCTGGAAATTGAACCCGGGTTGGCCATGTGTAAGGCAAATGTCCTACCCACTGTGCTATTGCTCCAGCCCCAATTACAGGATATTCTAACAGTGTTTCTGTCTTGTGTTCAATGTACTCCGGGTCACTCTACCTTTAAAAACAATCTTTTTCTATTCCTTTGAATATTTTGAAAGGAGACTTTTAGAAGACTAGGATATTTTTGATTATTTAAAGGCACATTGTAAAACTGTAAGAGTAATCACATCAGTTTTTGGTGTATTCAATTAAAATTTAAATATCTTCTGGTTTAATACTTCCTAGTCTGCCTTACCAAGTTTCCCAACCGTTTGTGAATAGTCATTAAGAAAGTTTCAGGGATTCTGACCTAGTAAGTGCCATCATAACGTCATAGTTCACTGACAATTTAAAAAAGCTGATTGAGTTATAGGTTACATGGTATTCAGGTCATTATTTTGTAGCTGCAAAGAACTATACCAGTCTCTCCACCCAGTGATTCCAGGTCCCTCAGGTATTATCTCATGGTTCTTTCTCTCTTCCCCCACAGTTCCAAGTTCAGTTAGTCATGTCTCAAGATTACCATTGTCTAATTCCCTTCTTTATTTTTTATACTCCATCACTATCATTGATACAGAAGATGTATAGCAAAAAGTAAGATACTAAATCATACTTCTTGTCTGAAGTTGTCTTTGGATGGTTAATATTTGATCTTTTTTATTATTTTTAAAAAGATTTTTATTTAAAGTAACAAAATAGGAGACTAACACCCGAGAATAGTAGAGATAAGGACCAGGAGGTTTGCCCCATGGCATGGAAGCTGGCCTCATGTCCTGGGGGAAAAGGCATCTCAGATAGAGAAGGGACACCAAGTAAAGGGTGTTGGGAGGACCTGCTCGGATTGGAAGATACCGAAAGTGGACTATAGACCGAACACAATGGCCACTCAATACCTCTGTTGCAAACCACAACACCCAAAAGGAGAGAGAGAACAAAAAGGAATGCCCTGCCACAGAGTCAGGGTGGAGTGGGGGGGATGGGGTGGGGGTGATGGAAGGAATACTGGGATCATTGGTGATGGATAATGGGCACTGGTGGAGGGATGGGTACCCAATCACTGTATGAATGAAACATAAGCACAAAAGTTTGTAAGTACGTAACTGTACCTTACAGTGATTCACTAATAAAAAAAAGATTTTATTTAACTTTCGTAAGGTTGTTTGCAATAATTGATTACATTTAATATTCAAATACCAATCCCACCACCATTACACTTCCCACCACCATATTTTGAATGTTTTCATCCCGAACCCCAAACCCTGCCCTCTAAGCAAAGCTGAAGTAATTTATTTCATATTACTTGTTATGAATAATCCGCTAAAAATGATTCAAAAATTTCTTTAGAGGAAAGTGTGTGAAGATGAAGCCCTTCTATAAAGATTACTAACATGTTGATAAAGGTTGAACCTTGTGTGCTTACACACACACACACACACACACACACACACACACACACACAAGGTTTGTCTGAGCCTGTGGAGAGTGCTGTGAGCATGGTGGTGATTTAGTTGTGGAGGTTTTCGATTCCTGGGGCTCTCGGCTGGGAAGGGAAACCCACCTATCTGTCTCCAAGCTGCCCCATATGAGATAGCCTAGTGTGGGTCAGGAGGCATGTCTATGGTGTATTGTTCTGAGCTCTCTTCTGAGAGATTTATTGCTGTCTCTGGATCATGGCCATTAATGAGATTATATAGCACCAGAGGCAGTTTGTGGGTGTGACTGCCAAGCTACTGGAAACACAGGCAAATGTGGGGAGGTCATCCATTCCTGACTCCATTGAGCCTGGAGTTTCAGTCACAAATCCTGCATACCTGGGTTTTTCTGCAGATTCAGTCATGAGGCAGGCTCATCCAAGCACGTTGGAGAGCAGTCATGAGTATGGCAGCAATAAATTTTTATCTTTTTTAGGAGACAGAAAGCTTCATTTAAAACTTAATCAGTAAGTTTATATAAATTTATGTTTTGAAGTAAGAAAATACCTACGAGGCAACAATAATAAAAATATAAATAAACATAAAAATTGATAAGATGCGTAAACTACTATACATATAGAAGTATGAGTACTATTTAAGTACTAGGATGTATGTGGTAGTTATAATCAAATATGGAAAATAAAATTACTTGCATTTACTGTAAGATGCTTGTTTTCTTTCTTGATAAAGAAAATAAATGGGATTCATCTTTATTGGTGTTAAAATGTGAAAATTTTGAATGAAATTCATGGGAGTACTCACTTCTTTTCCCAGTTGAGCTTCAACAAATTTGCAATGTAGAACATCTAAATTTAGCCCTGGTTTAAACTTTTGTTTCCTTTTGAATTTGTTGAATTTGTTGAATGAGATCCTTCTGTTGCTGTTTACCAACAGAGTATTGATATGGCAGTTGATTATACTAATTGTTTTTCAGCGGATTACTTGGCTCAGGCATTTGATTCTCTTTGTTTGGACTTGAAGACGGATGAAGGAAAAGTCTTGTTTTTGGAGTATCAAGCTGTTCCAGTAATATTAAGTCATCTAAGAATATCTAGTAAAGGACTCCTTTCCAATGTCATTGATAGTTTGCTTCAGATGACAGTGGAATCTAGTAAGTTTCTAAGTTTTATATACACACATCTTACTGGGATGGGTTTTTTCTTTTCCTTTTGAAGTTGTTTGTCAGTTAAATAACTTCCCAGTTAGTGGGTTCTTGATCTAGACACAGAGAGAATAACATGACTAAGCTTTGAAAACTACTGTTATTTTCTCAAGCCAAAGAGTTTATATGATTCATTCAGACTAGTAGCACTGAAGACCTGACAGAGTTCTTGAAGATGGTGCCTCTGCTCTGAGTTTTTAAAATTTTTTAAATTTTTAAAATATAATCACCATGAGTTATAGTTGTTTGGGTTGGAGCAATAGCATTACTGATGCCCACTCAAGCACATCAATGAAAAAGGAGAGGACAGTGCTACAATGCTACAGAGTTACAGTTACAAAGCTTTGATGATTGGGTTTCAGTCATACTGCACTGCACTGCACTGTAGCACTGTCCTCCCATTGTTTATTGATTTGCTCTAGCGGGCACCAGTAACGTCTCCATTGTGAGACTTGTTGTTACTGTTTTTGGCATATCAAATACGTCATGGGGAGCTTGGAGAGCTTGCCATGCTTTGCCGTGAGGACGGGATACTCTCAGGAGCTTGCTGGGCTCTCCAGTAGGGGTGGAGGAATCAAACCCAGGTCCGCTGCCTGCAAGGCAAATGCCCTACCCACTGTGCTATCACTCCAGCCCAAAACACTGAAACAACAACAAAAAACCAAAGTAAAGATTAGGTGGGTTTCCAGTGAGTGAACTGCTGCTCGGGTGGTATTTCTGCAAGAATACAGGACATACTTGTGACTTATTTCACAATCCTGGGTGACAGGGTCATGATCCCCGCTTTCTATGAAGTACAACGGAAGAGGCGTCAATCAGTAGTGCATGGAAAGTTAAGTATTGTTTTTGGAAAGGCTAAATAAAACTGCCTTGTTATACTGGGTGTGGCATGTTGCATTTTGGAAAAATTGGCTACAGAAATAGTGGCAGCTTGAGACTGCCATTCTTTTTTGGGTTTGGGGCCATATTGATGCTCAGAGGTAACTCCTGGCTCTGCACTCAGGAATTGACTCCTGGTGGTGCTCAAGGACCCTGTGGGATGTGAGGGATGGAACCCGACTGGGCCACATGCAATCAAATGCTCTCTCTGGTGATTGAAAATCCATCCTTCCACCAGTGTAGGTTTCCCACCACCAATGATGGGAATCCCTCCCGCCACATCACTCTGCTCCACCCCAGCCTCTATCTCCACCCACTTTCCCTCTTTCTCTCTCTCTACTTTTGGACATTATCATCTCCCTACTCAGACCTGACTAGCAGCATCCTTGTACCTTCTAGTGATATATATATATTATTATTATTATTAGTGAAACACCATGAGGTACAGTTGTAGACTTACAAACTTTTGTGCTTGAGTTTCAGTTATACAATGATTGAGTACTCATCCCTCCACTTCTAGTGATACAATTTATGGTCTGGTCCTTTGGGGTTAGCCCAAGGACACAAACTTCTCTAGAAGGAACATGGTGAGAATGGGGAAAGAATAAAAGGGGGGGGTGAGAAGCATCTAGGAAGGATATTTTTCCTTTCTCTGAGCCTAAAAGTTAGGCACAGGATAGCAAGAAGCAATGAGATCAGAATGACATAAAAATGTATCAGCAACCTTAATAAACAATAAAATAAAGCAACAATAACACTAACAGCAGCACTAAGAATAATGTGGCTTTTTCCTCTCTCTAAATTTTCACTAATGTGACATATTTTCTAGTAGTCTTCTCAGTTGTGTGGCTATATAACTTGCACTCATATAGTCTGTCTCCTTAAGTTTCCTTTGGTTTCATAATTCTGACTTACTTATATACTAACCTTAATTTCTCAGAGGGCAAGAGTTTCTCAGACATATCTCCATTTTAAGTGAGAACACATAAGCATAGTTATATTGTTTCTGCTAACTTGACTTTTATTGAGGTATTGGGGTAAGGAAGTATTCCAGCTGTATACATTGTCACACATTTTAATTCATGTTTGTACTATTTTAGTCTGATTTTTAAAATTTTGTTATGACAACTTATGTATGGGGATGCTGAACGTATTTTCATTTACTTTGGCATTCCTTTTGGAGTCTCAGATCAAGTAACCCTTGGAATTTTTTTTTTTTTTTTGCTTTTTGGGTCACACCCGGCGATGCTCAAGGGTTACTCCTGGCTTTGCACTCAGGAATCACTCCTGGCGGTGCTCGGGGGACCATATGGGATGCTGGGAATCGAACCCGGGTTAGCCGCGTGCAAGGCACCCTACCCGCTGTACTATTTCTCCAGCTCCAACCCTTTGACTTTTAATCAGTTATTTTGCTTTAGTAATTCTTTTTTACTTGGAATGATGTTTTTCTTTTCCCTCTTCATATCACTTACAAAACTAAAAAGTTTATATCTTTTTGAAGGTGGAAAAAATTTAAATCTCTTTGTTTTTGGAAAATCATTGTGTAGCATGGAAGTAAGTAAACAAGAGTGCTACTTCTGGTGATTGAAAACCCATCCCTCTCAGAGAGCCTAACAAGCTACCAAGAATATCCCACCCGCACAGACAGAGCCTGGCAAGCTCCCTGTGATGTATTTGATATGCCAAAAACAGTAAATATAACAGGTCTCATTCCCCTGACTCTGAAAGAGCCTCTAATCCTTGGGAAAGACGAGTAAGAAGAGGCTGCTAAAATCTCAGGGCTAGGACGAATAGACATGTTACTGCACCCGCTCAAGTAAATCGATAAACAACGGGATGGCAGTGATACAGTGATTTTTATCCTAGTTATCATTTCTTTTGCAGTAGAGAGTTTTCTTAATTTGATTCTGCCTATTGTTTATTTTTGCATCTGTTTGCTTGACTGATGAATTAAGTGATTGAAGATGCCTCTAGATTCAGTAAAAATGTTCTACCTGTTTTCCTCAATAAACATCAGAGATTCAGGACCAATTTTGAGGTTTCTAACCCATTTTTTTTGTTTTGGGGCCATACCCAGCGATGCTCAGGGCATACTCCTGACTCGGCACAAAGGGATTTTTCTGTGGTGCTCAGGGGACCATATGGGATGCCTAGGATCAAACCTGGTGGGCCAGGTGCAAGGCAAGCACCTTACCCACTATACTATCACTACAGCCCCTCTAAACCCATTTTTAGTTCTTTTGTTTATCATGTGAAATAGAGGTGTGAGTTCTCTTTCTTTCTTTTTTTTTCATTACTGACCAGTTTTCTCAGCACCACTTGTAGAAGAGTTTTCCTTGCTCCACTTAAAAAATTTACATCCTTTGTCAAAGATTATTCATATGCCTGAAGTTTGACTTAATTCTGTTTCATTGCCGAGTCAGTTTTTACTCCAGTAGCATACTTTGTTAATTACTGTATCTTTTTTTTCTTTTATGGTGACAGACAACTTTTTTTTCTTTGAATTTTTATTAAGACACTGTGTTTCGACAACCTTTCAATATTTATATTTCAAGCCACAATGCCCTAAAGGAGAGGAAAGGGGATGGAGGAAGGGGACAGAGTGGGGAGGAAAGGGAGAAAGAGAGAGAGAGAGAGAGAGAGACAGAGAGACAGAGAGAGAGAGAGGCGCCTTGGGGTGGGGTAGGTGGTGATGGGAGGGAAATTGGGGACACTGATGCTGGGAAATGTACACTGGTGGAAGGATGGGATGGATGTTTATGACTGAAACCTAATCATGAACAACTTTGTAAGGATCTATCTGACAGTGATTCAATTAAAAAAAAAACATTGGGAGTGAAGACTGGTTTCAACCCACTAGGTTTTGCATACTGGTGACTGTTCACTGAAGTTCACTGTGACACAGAAGGAGGATCCCATGACCTGGACACAAGGTTGGAAGAAGCAGAAAGCTAATCAGTAGAGAGCTCAGGATATGAGAATCTATGGTCAAGGGGCAAGCCAGGCCACTCTTTTCCTGACTCCACCTTTACCTCTCCGGGCTCCCTTTCAGTGTTTTCATCTAAGAGCAAAGACAATGAACAGACCTCTGGAGATGGTGGTATTTGAGGATGTGGCTGTCGATTGCACCTGGGGAGATTGGCAGCACCAGAATGATGAGCAGAGGACCCTCTACAGGGGTGTGATGCTGGAAGCCTACGGAAGCCTATGGTCACTTGGAATCACTGGATACTCATGGTGTGATCAGTGTTTAAAATCAAAACAAAAAAAACCAAAAAAACCACTGCTTTAACTTCCAAGAAATGGCCCAGCTTTAGAACTGATCTTGGAAAGACACCAGCAGTTGAGTGTCCTAGGCCAAGATCTCTGCACCATAAGTGGGAGGGGGGGGCTGACGGAGTCCCTGCCCTGCAAAGACCCAGCGCTCTGCCCACCCATCAGGCTCCACCACTGCGAGAATCGTCCCAGCTTCAGGACTCATCTCAGAGAGGTCAGAGAGACACCTGCAGCTAATGTCCTAGCTGCAGAGCCCCTGAAGCAAACAGCTGCATATACAGCTGCACAGCACCCCCAGACCACGGAGCTGACAGCCCAACAGACACAAGGAAATTAGATGGGAAAATTGAGTAGAAGCCCCCTAAGCTCATGACAGTAACACAGAAGACTCAACTCACACATAACACCTCAGTAAATCCTCAGGCCGCAATGTTAGCATTACGAGATATATGTTGTAATAAGCAACATAAAGTCAATTAGTGCCTGTAAGGGAGCAGGCTTAGGGGGTGGATGGGAAACTAGGGACATTGGTGGAGATAAGGGCACATTGGTGGAGTTATGAGGTAACTTTGTATTCAAGGTGTTTCAATAAAGTTAAAAAAAAACCCAAAAATAAAAAGACACTGGTTTACAAGGTTGTTCATATAGAGTTGTTTCAGGCATAAGGTATTCCAACATCAGTTCCACCTCCAAGTTTCCTCCCACCTCCCAGCCTTCATCCACCTGGCAGCCATATAACAAATCTATTTCGTATTTCATGCTCCAACAAAACTTAAAGGAATGGCAAATGGGGT